ATGCCTAACAAAATAGCTTTCGAAAATCGAAATTCTTTTTTCTGATATGCTAATGTCTGACCTGATTTATTTGGAAGTGTTGTTATCTAGGATTGTGTAGAATACATCACATTGAATTTCTAATAAAACAAGTTGAACAATTCATCTTTTGCATTACACTGGTTAAATGATTGAATATTTAAAATTTTCTATTCAGATGATTTTTCTGCATTTTTTAATTACATTATGGACTAAGATGCCATGTCGTCCAATTACACAGTTCTCAAGAGAGAGCAAATGTCATGGAGCAACAAATTGTGCTTAGACAGCTCGAGGCCATCTTATCTATCCATAAGCTGGCGAATACGGGAAATCAATTAGATGCATTGAGGGAAGTCGCCAAACTCCCATTTCTTCCTTTAGATCCAAGGGCACCAGATGTTTCCACTGATATCTTCAATAATTTGTCTCCACATGTCCAGGCTTGTGTGCCGGACCTTCTCAAAGTTGCTCTTCACTGTCTGGACAATGTCACTGATACAGATGGATCGCTTCGCGCATTGAGGGCTAAAGTATGTTTCAATTTTTATGCTGATAATTCGTCCAAATCAATTTTCATTCGTGGTGCATTCTTTTATCAATTTAACTCTGTATTGAGTTTTATTCGGATATTTTTGAGATCTCTACTTCTGTTTGCATAATCCAATTGAAATTTCCTTATTTTGCAGATTGCCAACTTTCTCGCGAACAATTTAAATGTAAACTGGCCTCGTGATTTGTACGAAAAGGTTGCTCGAAGCTTGTGAAAGTATGTCGCTGTTGCCTGCTGGATGTCTATTGATGGTTTCATTATATATATATATATAGTATGAACACTGTACAAAATGCTCGGCTGTGCCTGTAATGATCATACTTTGGTGGTCCTGAGAGGATGGAAGTTAATTCTAGTAGTTAAGGGTGAGTTTGATTTTCGTTTCCATTTTCTCTTTTCAGTTTTGAATTCATTGTTTTTCGTTTTGAGGGACTATTTTTTAATTATAGAAAACGTGTTTGACTTATCATTCTGAAAAACGGTTTCTCAAAACAGAAAACTAGAAAATGTGTTTGGTTTAAAAATTTTAAAAATTGTTTTATGACATTTATTCAATTATTATTATTATTATTATTATTATATA